AACGGGGTTGGTGCTCTGCGGCATAAAAAGCAATGTGCGGGTCCAATCAATACCATTCTGCCCGTTTGGGGGGGGGGGTGGGTAGGAAGACGACGGGCTGAGCTTACGGGAGAGAATTATCTGGCCGAACAGCAGCCAGAAGCGGGGCCGGGAGAGGCCGGAGAGGTAGGGAGATTTGCTGGGAGCGCTTGACGGGAGGAGGGGGGTGGACTCGGTTTTTTTGGGCTGGGAGGGAAACGAGGAGGAGGCCGAGGAGATGGTGGTGCTGCTGCTGGGAGTGGAAGCATAGTGAGGACGGGGGATGCGAAAAGGGGGTTGTTGCGGTCGAGAACCGGGGAGGAAGAGGTCGAATGGGTTGGTGGTTTCATCGTCGCTGGAGTCGTCAGACGAGGAGAGAGATTCTGACGATTCAGAGTTTTTGTCACTTTCCCAGGGGTTCTTTCGGTAGAGGTACACCTCACGGTGCGGCGGTCTTTCCTGAGAGCTCATGATGTTTGCGTTCACACCATCGACAGACAGACAGACAGACACAAAAGAAACCACAAATATTCACACTCAAGTCACACTACATATTTTGGGTATTCGTACAACTCAATAAACTCCGTTAAACCCTTCCCCCCCTCAACCCATCTCCGATTCTCGGTGGCGGCTTTGTGTGATATTTGTATGGCGTTATGCATCCAAACCCGCACTAACACCATGACGCCTTCGCCCTTGCTTCCTGTCGTTCGGTTGCGATGCGGCGCCGACGATACATATCCCCCCCACACACCAGTCCCACACCATACCTCAAAACTTGCCTCTCATCACCTTTGTCCAATCACCTTGCGTCTTCTCAGCTACCACGTTAAGGGTGCAACTTGTCAACTTGCATCATGCAGAGCCACCCCTCTTCCGCAGTGAAATAGGACGAATGACCAATATTCCGAGACTGCATTCTTGGATGTGTGACATGTATGTGCGGGGATATCCCCGATGGGTGCTGTCAACAAGGTGAACGGTACGGCCTTTGAAGATAATTGGAGGCCTTTGATGTTAAAGACAGACGGAGATGTGACACGGACAGTTTCACACATATCAACGACGACCCAAGGGATCAAAGATCAGAATAGGGCTTTGAAAAAGTCACAATATGCGTAGGAAAATCGATTCGATGCCTCCCTCAACACCAAACATGCCTTCCTCAAATGCAATTAGGCCTGGTCTGCATGAAAAAGGCCCTCCTATATCTCCAGGACGCCTGTAACCTCTTCAAAGAGGCCTATCTAGCAAACAAATGGGCCTCAAAAACGTCTAGATACGCGCAGAAAGAATCTAATTAGGTCTCAAAAGAACCTCGGTACGCCTCAGATGACAGAACGCATGCCTCAAAAAGACATCAGGTACGCATGCTGGCCAAAGCAGCAGGCACCAAAACGCCGGCGCCGGTGATACCGCCATCGTGGCAGGGATGCAAGACCACACGAATAGGGGCTTTCCCATCAAACTCCAACGCCAAAATCTTATCCAGATAGGCCTGTGTGTCGGCCAAGTAGTCTTGGAAGTGCTGAATGCACCCACCAGTGTATCCAACCACCAACTCAGTGATGTCCTTCTTCCCAATAGCACCAGGCTCCGGGATCTCCTCGGCACACATCAGCAAACCAATTGTCGAAGCAGCAATGATGCCGGCAGCTCTCTTCTGAATCGCCACGGCAATCTTGTGCAGGACGGCCTCGAGCGTCTTGGTCCACTCAAACTCGGGATGCTCGGCCGGGAACTCGTTGCTCAGCTGGTCGGCCATGCTACCGTTGGGGCTGTTGTGGTAATAGTGGCTCAAGAAAGTGGTGGTGAGGCCAAACCTCTTACGAAGCTTGCTTGGCAGCGTAGAGACAGCCAGCTTGAGGACATTGATGCAGTAGTCAAGAAACATGATTCTGCCCAGCTCGCCCAGGTAGCGTCCGGCAGTCATGTACTCAAGAGGCTGGAAGCCGGGAATCTCTCCGGCCCTGTCAAGCTCCTCGTCCCACTTGTTGATCAGACCAAACTTGCGGAGAGGAGGCGCAGAGCCGTTGATGCTCCACTCGGTGTTGACAGCAATTTTGGCTGTAGCCACATCTTGACCGGGCAAGACGTTGATGGAAGCCGGGCGCTTGCTCTCATGCAGGGTAGAAAGCTTCAGGGGAATGGTGGCGTTGCAGCCCGTGCCGACAATGACGCCCATGGCCGCTTTCTGATGGGCTTTGGCGGGAAACTGGCAGATGAAAGAGACAAGAGTTGACACGGAATCGTTCGCAATCGCAGCAATCTTGATGTTCGGCATGTCAGCAGTCTTGTGCTTCTCATAACCAGTGGTCAGGTGGCCACCGAGATCCAGGTTAGACGTGATGGCAAAACCCTTTCCCATCGCCATCAGTTTGGCCTCGGACAGTGAGGTCTGGTGCATGGGGAAACTGAACGTGACACCCAGGGGAAGGTCCTGGTCAGGAGAAAGACTGAAGGCATCGCAGCCCTTGCGGACAACATGTGCAATGCGGTCGCCAATCCATGAGAACAAACTCTCCGAATTCTCGTTCTTGAGACTTTCACCGATGGGCCAGGAGTGCTCGAGAAGGCGGTTCAACTTGCGGGAGGTGCTGGGCACGCCAGCGTCATCCACAACCAAATTGTGCTGAAGCTCGATGAACCCAACACGGAGGTTGGTTCCGCCACTAAGAAACGTTAATCCCAGCTCTCCGAAGTCTAACCGAACCAGGAGAGTGTGGCTTGGGTTTTCTTACATGTCAATGGCGAGGTAACTGTTTGGTGAAGATGAAGTGTCAGCATCTTGTTCATCGCTTCGTCTGTGTATCAACCCCCGCACTTTATGCAGCTGCCGACCGGAGCCGACTCGTCCGTTACATTCGCCTAGAAGCAATACATCTCCTGCTCCTTTGGGCAACCTCAGCCAAGATTCATGAGATGATAAACTTACCGACCGCTATCACTGCCGTCCTGGCCAGCGCTCACCTCGGGGGATAAGATCGATTCAGAGATTGGGGTGGGCAGGAACATGTCCGACGACTCGGCTGAGAGCTTGCCAAAGGTCGAGGCCATCTCGCGAGCGAGCCCAGAGAGTTTCTGGACATCGATAGCCAGTGGCTCGAGAAACTTGTCGATTTCAAGCGTCGAACCCATGTTGACGACTGTACAAAGGAAACAAGGGGGGGTACAGATGCTGTAGGAGAACGAGATGCTTCTAACACTTCGGGTAACGGCTGTCGATGGTCCAAGAGGAACCAAAACGTGCTGAACGCGTAAAGATTGTTGCTTGGAAAGAATTCAAAACAAAATAACCCTGGGAAAGTCGCTAAGTGGCGGAGTGCTTCCCATAGCTGTTGGTAAACGGCAGGAGCGACGACGGACGGGCACCTTCGATATTCAAGAGCGATGGAATCTTTCCCCCCTTGAAGCATTTGCCGCTAAGAGAGGGAAACAGAAACATATATAAAAAAAACACCTTCGAGTCTGCCAAAATATTGGCCTGTGACGAGCAATATTGAATACGCTGCCTCTTTGGGCTACATCAGCGTCCCAATGTCACGTATCATCGACTCAGCAGGCAGCATGTCGTGGAGGTTGCCTTTGGGGCCACGATCACCACAGCCAATCAGCGGTCTTGTTACACCTTGATGGCGTCCTTCAGCGCACCCACCTGTTCTGCCAGCAGGGGGTCGCCCTCAGCGTGCAACCACGGGAGAGGCACGACGACGTCCATCGTCAAAACAGGAAACCTTCGGGAATTTCTAGATGCATGAACGGGACCCCAAAATAGCCACGGGAGTGTTTAAGCTCGTCTCTTAATCTGCTCATTGCATGCCCCTGCATTTCATTTTCGCCCAACCCTAACCCAACAGATGATACTATGGAAACTCCGTTTTGAGTCATGTCTTGTCTCATGGCCATGACACATGCTGATATGCCTGTTATCTATACATTATTGTCTTGCTGTGGTCCATCTTCTAATGCCCATTGATCCTCCCTCCATTCAGTGTCAGCTCCTCTAGCTCAGCTCTCATCTTCCGGTACTGCTCCTGTGCCTCTCTCTCCCTGGTGCTGACAAATGCAACCTCGGCCCTGAGAGCTCCAAGACGTCTTTGAATCGCGGCCTCCTCTGATGTCTGCAGGACCTTGAACCCACTCAGCGCAGCCCTGGCCTTTTCCAAAGCCTCGTGGGCCTCCCCAATCTTCTTGCGCAGCATCTCGGCCCGGTTCTTGTACCCGCCCAAGTGCAGATTCAACTTCTTTTCCAGCTTATTGCCCTTCTCTGCGGAAGCAATCAAGGCGTCGATAGCAGTCTGAATCATGTTAGCCCATACAGATTCTTGAGTTTTCCGCCCCTGTGTGTGGGAGACGTGTGGAAGAACTTACGTCCAGTGCCGATCGCATGATGGCAATGTTTCGCTCCTCCTCGCTGTCATCCTCATCGTCATAGCACCCAAGACCCAGCAACAGGGCGTTGGTATTGTTCCTGTTGTACACTGCCTGGACAGCCTCCGGCTTCGGCTTTTCCCTCATCTCCATGAGAATCTGAAGACGAGCCTCTTCTAGAGAATCATCTTCGAAACGGGCGATATCCACCGGCTTCACGTTTGGTGGCGCCCCTGGAAGTGGGTATTTGGTCGCATCATGTGCCATCAACAGGGCCGCTTCCTTCGCCACCAGCTTCTCCACCTCACTCTCGTCACTCTTGCTCAGCTCTGCGAATGTAGCTTTCCAGTCTACATATACTGGCCTTGGCAAGTCCTTTTGCATGACCTGGGTCCGTCTCTTGCGCTCCAAGTACTCGCGGGCTTCGCGGATCTGCCGCTCTCTGCGATCTCGCTCCGCCGCATCCTCCTCCGTCTCCTGCGCAACAGCCGGCTCCTGTTGCTCATCCGGCAGTTCCAATTCCCAGTCAGTTTCCTTGGGTTTGGGAAGGGCGGCAAGTCTTTCCTTGAGTTGGTGTCGGAGAGATAGATCGCGCAGTCTGGCGTCGTTAGGGGTTCCTCCAACCATGGACATTTCATCATCGTTGGCGTTCAGCGCGAAGCTATCGCGAGGCGTGCGATGAGGAGTTTGGCCAACCCTGGCTGGAGTAGCGCCGACCCCATTTGCGCCCGACCGGAAAGGGGTTGCCAGCGGGTTTTCCGTGACTATCACCTGCCTCCGTGGCGCTACCGATTCGAACCCGGTTGAACCTGCACCCTCATGGAGAGGGGTGTTCTCACCACCCAACAGAGATGACTGCGTCTCAGTCAAGGCTCTAATGTTCCGGATCTCGTTCGCGATGTGGTCTTCTTGCGCGGGAGCTCGAGGTGTTCTGATCGGCGCGCTGGTGTTGAGCGTTGTGTAGTTGCCAACCAAGCCGCGGGTGGCATCATTGTCGCTCTCGCGAGCCATCATGCTTGCCCTTTCTCCGATCATGCCCATCTTGACGATTTCCTCCAACTCACCCTCGCCAACCTGAGGGGCTGGAAGCACTAGCGCTCTCCTCTTGCTGCTCTGCTCTGCCTCGCGCATCTTCTGCATCTGACCAGCCTTGAGCGCTGCCTGCATCGACTGCGAGGGCCCCTCATTCTTTTTTCGCTTCCTATCACCTTCCTCATCGCCCTCCCCCTTCCGCTTGTTGCCAACTTGCTGCTTCTTGGGGTCGAAATGGGCTCGCTGCCACTCATTGCGCGCAATCTCCTCAGTCGTATCGTAGAATCCAGGTACAGCCTTCTTTTCGAACGGAATATCGGCATTATAGTCCATCTGCCCCTTCTTCCTTGTTGTCACCTTGATGTTGATGCCGGCCGTTTTCAGCTCTCGTCGTTTCTGAAGCGCTGCCAGCCGTCTGGACTCCTCCTGCTGTCGTTCACGGGCCTTGCGCTTGGCCTTCTTGCCCTGTGTATTGGCAAGACGGGCGCGCGCCTCGCTCAGCATTTCCTTCTCGTCCTCGTCGAGATCGATGGTGTCGGGTCGGGCAGGCTTCGTTTCGGGATCGGGATCCACCTCGCCAGGGCGTAAACGACGAACATCATCGGCGGATGGTGCCTGGGCTTCTCCTCCATCGGGACCGGTCAGACCGAGGGACGAGGCTTCTCGTTGTTCGGCTTCGTCGAGGAGTTTCTGGTAGCGTTCGAGACACTGGTTGGCAGTGCGGCCGACAATCGGGGCGATAGTGCGCCATTGCGTGGGCATCAACTTTGCCAAATGTAACAACTTTTCATCCTCCTCCTTGCTCCACTCGATCTTCTTGATGCTGGGGTCGAGCCACTCGTTCCATCTTGCCTTGCACTGTTTTGGTGTTTTCCGGGCCAAGAGCGACGAGACACGCGCCCACTGGTTCAGCCCGTACTTGCTGACGGACGCCTTGAGAATTTCATCTTCGATATTCGTCCATACACCTCCTTTTACCACGGGCATCTTGTTTACTGGTCGGTTTGATGGGCCCGGTTGGCGATGATTGTGGAATGTTGAAAAAGTTGGAACAGGCAAGTCACGGAAAAGTGGAAGGCGAAGCTGCGCGCGAGGCTTGGTTTGACGACTGGGCGTTGCACCATTTGATTGGGTGGAAATCCAGATGTAAGGACCCACACAAGCTTTTCAAGATGGCTCTTGGCAGTCTTTTGATCCTTGTCAGCCCGCGTCTCCCAGCGCGTCGCAACTGACTTGCTTCCAACTTCCAATTGACAGAATCTCAACCACCGAAGCGCAATCTCAACGGCGACTAATTTTCGGGTATATACTCAGCCAAACCTTCCATTCCACTTGATCGAACAGTATAGAGCGTTGCCTTTTTTTCTTTCTCTTTCGTTAACAGTTTCTACGTCAAAAAGCGAATGTATTGCGCCATTGATAGAGCTGTTCTCTACTCAGAGCATCTTTTCGTCGATACAATAGAAACCAGTGCGTGAGCAAATCCGCAACAATGGCCGACCCAAGCTCCCCGCAACCTCCAAGTGAGACCACGCCTTCCTTGATCTCTTCTATACCTCAAAAGCGTGCGCTCCCAGACGACACCCACAGTCCCGCCGTTCCCTCGCCCCTCAATCCCGATGGGAAATCCCAAAAAGTACAGATTCAGCCACCAGCAGAAGAAGGAACAACCATGGGACGAGAGAAACGGACGAAAAAGGAGTCTCTCAAAAAGAGAGAGTCCAAGGGCGCCACGGGAGGTGACAGCTCGAGGGCTTCACCAACACCCAAGCCGAAAGAGCAACCTGGTGAGATGGCGCCCTTGAGATACAAGCTCGCGCCCCCAAAGATCACCGACTTCGACCTTCCGCGTGGGCCAGTATTCACCAGCCATCACGAGGTACAAGATTCCGAGGGGAGATCAATTGAGTTCTACGAGACGTCAGATCAGTAAGTATTCTCTACCTCCTATTGGTGAAGAGCTTGTCTAACATCATTGCAGTGTCTACAACAAGAAGAACTTCCACTACACCCACTGTATTGCCGATCCTACGTTTCCTTCCATGTTCTACTATCGCAACACTGAGCCAGAACCGTATGGCGCCCACCTGAATTTCGAAGATGCCGCCTCGCACATGTATTTCGACCAGCAAGGCACACATGTGACCTCTGATAAGGGCTTCCGGATGGCTCGTGCCAATGTCGCAGTAAGGGAAGGGCGTTGGTACTGGGAGTGCAAGGTCACTCGTGGAATTTTGAAGAAAAAAAACGAAGGCGATCCAGAATCCCATGGGCACATTCGTCTCGGATTTGCGCGTAGGGAAGCCTCCCTCGATGCGCCGGTTGGGTTTGACGCTTACAGCTATGGAATTCGGGACAAATCTGGCCAGAAGATTCACATGTCTCGACCCAAAGACTTTTTCCCCGAAGGCGAGGACATCAAAGAAGGAGACGTGATTGGTCTCGAGATCCAATTACCTTCCGAGCGGCTGCACAGAAAAGTCGTTCAAGGGCACTACAACCCGGCTGTTGATCTCATCGCTGAAGACGAAGGCCATCCCGACGGCATCAGCGAGTACCCCAACATCATCCGCGACCGTATTCCGATCCGCTTCAAAGCTCACATCTACTTTGAAAAGATCGACTACCACACCACCAAAGAGTTGGAAGAGTTGATGAATCCAAGTTCGGGACCTAACAATTCCTCCGAACCTCCCAACCCGAATCACACCTCTCCAGCGTTGCGCACCCTTCCCAACTCATACATCAAGGTCTACAAGAATGGGAAGTTTATGGGTACTCCCTTCACCGATCTGTTAGCTTTCTTGCCCCCAGCGTCAAGAATGGTGAACAACCAACAAGCTGGCGGTAGCGGTGGGGCCGGCGTGTTGGGCGGCAGAGATGTGCTTGATGATGGGTCGGTGGGGTATTATCCTGCCGTGAGTGTCTTTAGAGGAGGTGCCGTTGAGTGCAATTTTGGGCCCAATTTCTGGTATCCTCCGCCTGAATTTTCACAGCAACAACCGCAAGGGGAGGATGTGATTGTGGCCGAAGGTGATGCTAGCCAGAAGCCAGAAGCGGGAGAAAATCAGCCACGTGCATTGGCGGATAGATATGACGAGCAAATAGTAGAGGACATTCTCTATGACATTGTCGATGAGGTTGGCTTCTGGTCTTTGGGGCTGGGGAGAGGTGGGAGTAAGGATGAAAAGTTGGCTGAAGGAGGGACAGGCCTTGCTATGCCACCAGGCGGTGGGAGGGAGGAGATCAAGGAGTTGGTTCAGGATGATTAATTGCTTGCTTGAGAGAACCGAGGTACCAGTCTCATCAAGAGGTGCGGTGACTATCTAATATCAAACTATTACTCCTTGCTCAACATGAAGATTATCTTCTGGCATGTGATTCTGTATACTTCACTTCTCATTCTGCTTCAGGCAATCATGAAAATGAGAATTCGTAGCTGCCTGATTTGATGTTCTGTAAGTCGCTGCGAATGCCTGGACCCACTTTTGACTTCACCACACAGCTCACAGCCCCTCCATCTCCCTCACTTTCAGCACCACTTCAACGCCAAAAAGCTACAGAAATGGACGCCCCAGTGGAAGATTCCGACATCAAACTCCAAAAGGTCTCAGCAGACCTCATATCCGAATTTGACACGCGTCTCCCCCTGTTCTTGTTTCGTCGGCAGCGAAGCGGGGACAGCTCCCAAAAAGTGAGGAAGCAAGTCACAGCAAGAGAAGCAGACGGGTTGATCGCCGGTGTATGTACCCAATCAACTCACTATCCAACGCAAAAAAGTAACCAGAAAAGTGCCTCGACCCCTTCCAAGAACTCCCCCAGCTCCTCGACCCCCACCTCTCCAGATGGATCTCCCTCCTCTCCTCCGCCTTTGTCTCCTCGCTCAACCTCGCCGCCACCTCGTCTCACTCACTCTCCAACGATTACGACACCGCCAACCCCGAAAAAGAAGCGCTCCTCATCCCGCTGACCCAGGCCATCAGCAAAATAATCTACACCCTCTGCAAGATTCGCGGTGAAAAGGTCGTGGTACGGTTCCTCGGGAACGAAGTCTCCTGGCTGGAACCCCTGCTGTCATTTACAGAACAATGCCAAAAAACCAAAACATGGGAAGAGAGGTATGTCGGGCTGCTGTGGTTGAGCCATTTGCTGTTTGCGCCTTTTGACCTGGCCACCATTTCATCAAACAACTACGAGGATGCGGATGATGAAGACGAAGACGAAGAGAAGAAGACGGTGGTGGAGGGGCTGGACCTGCAGTGGGAGAAACTACCGGGAATCACGGTTCGGGTCTTGCCTCTGGCGATTCGGTATCTGGCTAGCCCGGGGAAGGAAAGAGACGCGGCCAAGGCTCTGCTGGTCAGGTTGGCGCTGAGGAGGGACATGCAAGAACTGGGAGTGTTGGATGCTATGGTCAGGTGGGCGCTCAAAGCGCTGAGGCCAAAGCAGGAGAAGACGCCGTATCATTACATTGGTGTGTTGAGCTTTCTGGCGGGGGTGTTGACTTCTTCGGCGGATACGTCGGATATGGATCCGTACTTGGTGATGGTTTTTCATGCTGTTCATGGGGCTGCTGAGAACAGTCAGGAGAGCGTCATGGCGTCTGCGTTGGCAAGGAAGGCGGTTATCAAGGTTATAAGGGCCGTGGCGGTGTTGTTTTTGAGGGAAAACAAGGATTTGTATGAGGATATTGTCGGGTTGGGGCTGGTGGAAACAACGATTGGGTTTTTGTTGGATTGTCTTGGGGACAATGACACCCCCGTGAGGTTTGCGGCCAGCAAGGCGCTGAGCATCATTGCGTTGAGGTTGGATCAGTACATGGCCAGCCAGGTCGTGGAGGCCGTGCTGGAGGGACTGAACAAGAATGTGTTGAAGGGTAGAGAGACGCCTGGAAAGAAGGACTTGAGTGCGGTCAACCCGTTGGAGTGGCATGGGTTGATGCTCACCCTCTCACACCTGTTGTATCGGAGGTCACCACCGGCCGATCAGCTGGCCGAGATCGTCCAGGCACTTATTACAGGACTGTCATTTGAACGCAGAGCTCTCTCGGGAAGCTCGTCGGGGACAAACGTCAGGGATGCAGCATGCTTTGGAATATGGGCCATGGCCAGGAGATACACCACGAAAGAACTGCTTGCGGTCCCGACAGAGTCCATGATCATAGGGGCGCATGCTCCGGGTAGCTCTGTCTTGCAAATCACAGCTACGGGGCTAGTTGCGGCTGCTTGCCTGGATCCTGCGGGCAATATCAGACGTGGCTCCTCAGCTGCGCTCCAAGAGCTGATCGGGCGACATCCCGACACAGTCACAGAAGGCATCTGGGTTGTGCAAACGGTGGACTATCACGCTGTTGCCTTGAGAGCCAGAGCGCTCCAGGAGGTTGCTCTGGGTGTCACCAAGCTTTCGCCACGATATGGCGAGGCTATACTGGAGGCGTTGCTCGGATGGCGAGGTGTCGGTGATGTTGATGCTGCTTCCAGACGGGCGGTCGGGGCTTCTTTCGGGGCGTTGACTGCAGAGTTGGCCTTGACAACCCCGGATCCCCTCAAGAGGCTTCGACAATCAGTCAGCTTAGCCAAAGGCGTCTTAACATCTCTCCAAGCGCGTCAGGTGGAGGAAAGACATGGCTTGTTGATGAGTATAGCTGGTGTGTTCGATGGATTTCCCAAAGTTGTCGGCGGGCAGGCGGATTACAAAAGCGAAAGTCTCATCAGCTTTGTCAACTCTTCCGCAGACGGGGTGCTCGAAATTCTCGAAGACTGCAACGCAAAGACTTATCGGCGTCCAGAACTTGTCGCGGAAGGAGCCAGCAGGCTGATAATTTCTGCGGCCCCTATCCTCCAAGCTGTTATGTCCACTTCCGGTGTTCAAAATTCGCCCACAGCAATAGTATCTGGGCCAGAACTGATAGAAGAAAACGCAGGCGAGATCACCCAGCTGGTGAGGGCCCTAGGAGAAAGAGAAGGCCCAGTCAAGGGATTTGTCAAGCTCACGAGAACATACCTGGCAAAGTGGCTTCTCACGCAAGAGCCGGACCTGATCACACCTGCCGCAGACGCAGCTCTCACTATGCTCATATTTAGCGACGATGGTGAGCGCGAAGAAATTGTCAGGGAGTGGGCAGGAATTGTTCGGCACCGCCCGACATCATCCAGAGTTGCCACATGGGGCGGGCATTTCTCTGCACTTGCCATGTCCTACTCGATAGCCTCCACCCTCCAAACGGTTCAAATCAAGAACTTGATCTGTGATTCATTTGTGGAGAGGTGGAACACGGATCCATATACCGATGTTCATGTTGCTGTCCTTCAGAGTCTTACGAGGAGCAACAGCAAGAGCGGTTTGCTGAGGGACAATACGGATATTTTCCTACCTCTGATAGCAGAGGGCCTGGATGACTACACCACCACGGCACAAGGCGATGTTGGTTCTATGGTGAGGTTCCAAGCCATCCGGGCGACAAAAGCCTTGTGGACAGAGCCACCTTCTGGGCCTTTGGTCGAAGGTTTAATCCTGAGGATCCTGCGCCTGGCAGCAGAGAAACTGGACAGAGTGCGCGCAGAGGCCCAGGTTGCCCTCTCTCTAGTCTTGAAACCAGAGCATGTTTTCCGGCGTCCCCCCTTGTCACATCACGCTAACCTTTCTTCTATCAGATTCAGAGCCCCGTTCCTCCAAACAACCTTCTCCTCGACCGCGTACTTCACCTCACTCCTCTCCCTCCCCTCCAAGCTCCTCGATTCTGTCTCTTCGTCAACTTTGTTCTCCAACCCCCAAGAATGGCTCTGCCCCCTGTTGTCAGGCTACGTCTCCTCGGCAGACACGGGCAACGAAGAGCTTGTCATCGCCACCAGATCCGCTCTCTTGTCGCACTGTCTCGCCTCCCCTGACATTACCCTGGACATCGTCACCGCTCTGATATCGAACCTGAGGACTCATCAGAAAAACGACAGGGTGCTGGTCCCGACACTGGAAGTGTTGAGATTCTTGCTTGACATGTCTGTTGTCTCTCCTGAGGGGATAAACTGGAAGACGCTGTGTCTGCTTGTGCAAAAGGCGGCGTATAAAACGGGGAATGTGAGGAAACTGGAGGCCTGTATTGGGCTGTATGGCGGAGTTGTTCTACAGGGGGAAGGGGAGGGGAGAGAGGAAGCCAAGAAAAGACTGGGAGCGTTGATGGTACATCCTTGGCCTAGGGTGAGGAGTGCGGTTGTTGATCAGCTTTGGAGGGTGTACAGCAGCGGCAGTAACGGTGAGGAGGAAAAAGGGGGGAAGTTGCTTGGTACTGATTGGGGAGCTACCAATAAGGGGTCGATCCAGCAGCTGGTCAACGAGCTGGGGTTAACAGGTGCCTGATAGATAGCTTCCACACGGGATTTCGCCGGGTACGTGAAGCGAACATCTAGAGAAATGGTATTGAGATGGCGAATGGCACACCGACAGGCTTGCTGACGGCCCGCTGCGCAAAAATTATTCCCCATGCGTATCTCATCCTGAGATAAGCTGTCCTGAAGCAGTAGATCACCATATCATTACAGCCACGTATTATTATCATCACTATCACCAATCATTTCACCGCCAACGCTGCCAACGCTCGGTTGCCGTCATTTAGTGTCCTTGAAAGATCAAATAGGAAAACAGGGCTGGCATACGATTGGAAAGTTCTTTGTGGGGAAACCAAGCCAAGACCCCGTTCTGTGGCTGTTGAAGCTACGGGCTTGCATCCGGGCCAATCGGATGGGGGCTTGTCGAAGTCAAGTCAAGTCAAGTCAGATTGGGCACTTTATTTTTACAGGACGGTGGTGAGAATAATAACTGAGAGGGTTCTGATCGGACCGAGGTCGATGACTTTGTTCTTTCCACAAGGGCTGGCATCACTAGCAATGTGTTGTCTGTGGCTGGCTGGCTGGCTGCTCAAGGCGAAGCTACGGCTCTCTCTCGCTCCCGTCGTCAAACAACCCGAAACCGAGAGCGAGACTGGGATCGGATGGGGTCAATGCAAAACCTAGCAGTTTATCTGTCTTGATTTCTTCGATCTGGAACTTGTCGAGTGTTGTGTGTTGTTCGTGCTGTGTGATATGCCTCATCAACCGCTTTGATCATTGCAGGGTGCTCGAGTGACATCTGATGTCGGGAGGACGGGAAGGGGGGTTACATTCTTCGAAGGCAACTGGGGCCAAAGGAGTCCACTATCACAAAAGATCTTTCACTTGTTGTGTAAATAGTTGTGTTTACAATTGGAAGATGTGAGCTCAGATCGAATTGTGAGGGTATCTGTGCAAAGAGGGACTGAAGACATTGGAGGGGTTGGCTCTTGCTCTTCACAAGCTTCACAAGCTTTCCCCACACTCTCAAGCTCTCGATGCAATTCCCCACCATCAAAGAGGCACTCGACTCCCACAAAGCTTTGGTGTTACCTTGAACGTAAAAGCTCGTCTCGATACATACATACATATACATATATATATATATATATATATATTTGTATCTATATATATTTGTATCTATATATATGTATATGTCGTGAACGCCCATCATGTTCAAAACCGCATCACAAGACCTGATCTTCAAACATTTCCATATTAAATATCACCTGTCGTCCCTTCTGATTGTGCATCTACCCATATTCGTACCACCTCATGCGAACACGGGATGGAATCTCTCTGACCGTCACACCAGAACTCCTCCCCTGCTAACAATTTGCTTACCTAACCCCTCAGTCACATCGTACTTCGTACCAGAAAAAAAAAAACGAAAAGAACCAAGACCTGCGAGCCGTGCCGGCGTCCAACCTTTCCCAGGTCGCCGATTAATATCGAGAACAATTCCACCCTATCCAATCAACTCAAAATTACCTCCGGATTGCGAATCCACCTCGTGACCCACGGGCGCCCGACCAACAAACCCCGACCCTTTGATCTTCTTTTTCTTCCTTTTCGTGACTTTCCCCCCGACAGGGTTCCTCTCAACGGGAAAACCCACTGCCCACGTGTGAGGCCTGTGGCCCCTTTGACGCCGGGGCATATCCCTGATGCCACACTAGATCGTAAAATGGGCTGGATTAATTGGACAACAAACTCCTGCCAGATCCTTCTTCCACCTACATTATTCACGGAATTTCCGTTGTTATGTGTATCATCGGTGTCGTCGTCACTATCAACTGATAGGATCCAACGCTTCCTATCCGTTGGGCTTTTTTTCTTTTCTTTGATGTTTCTGTCCATTTCTTGGCACTTTCGCTTGAAAGATTTTGTGTATACGGCCAAGGGAGCTGCGGTGGGGGACTTGGGGTGTCTGGTGCACAGGCCATATCAGAGAGACATGGCAGCGCAACCACGAGGAGGCAGGATCTTGCTTTTGTGGTGATACGATCGCGCGCGCACACATATACGAAAAAAACAAACGAAAAAGAAAAAAAAAGATGCTCGGTGGGGAGACGCCGTTGACGTAGCAAGGGCGGAAGAGGCGTTTGTCAACTGTTGTGTCCAGTCCAGGGGCCGCGCTATCGATCGAGATGAAGGTGCGATTCGCAAGCGTGAGGATTACATTCGGCCCACGCATTTCATTTCTCGTCTCGATCTCATGATGATATCCTGATGGGTGTTTATTTTGCTTGTGAAAAGTCAGACACGGAGGAACTCTCACCTCTCTCCCAGTCCCTTGCTTGCATCCAATCCACAGACTTTTCATCTACAATGTCACAGATGGGGCATTTCATAACGGCCAAGAACGCTCCCTGGCGTCATGCTCGTCATGTGTTGTTCCCTCCTGCTACTGCCCGCCCGAGACGAATGCGATATAGGGTTATTTTTGCCTTGTTTTGCTTCCCCCCTCTCTAAGTGTGTGCATTTGCAAGATTCTTGGGTTGCGTCAGATGTTCTAAAAATTGATGAAGCAAGGTGGGAAGCGAATTGCGGAACGTGACGAGCCTTTTTTACGCTGGCTCCTTGGCTTCTTTTGCATCTTGTTTCAAAAAAGGGATAGGGTAAATGTGAGGAAAGATTGGCGAGGTGGTTGTGTAGAACAACCTGAGAGGGGAGGGAAGGGGGGTGGTTGTGAGGGGCTTCTGGTCAAGCTTCGGTGAAAAATGAAGACACACACCCCCGCGCTCCAAACCGTCTTTTGAGTGCTTGACACAACCCACCAGGACATCCCGCGCCCGGTTGCCCAAAAAATGGCAAAACTTAACGCGGTTGGCTGGATTGTTCCTGGGGGACGGGCTCCTTTTCTTGTCCTGATGGTGGCTTGACAATTTGATGGCAAATAAGGGCTTTCCTCCGCGCGCGCCGTGCGAGTGAAACCGAAGCAATCACGGCATTGCAAGCAGAGCAGAGTTGGAAGAGCAAGAATATCAATGACGTGTGTGTGCTACGAAGCAGCGAATGGAAATTGGAGCGGGGCTATACCTACTGCCGAAGCTCGACGGAGTTTAGTCCGTCCTCTTGACGCCTCCTACCGCGTACTGTTGTATGCGATCTGCAGGAGCCAGCTGCTGTAACGATACCTTATACGAGTCGCCAAAGCACTTAAAGAGCGGTCAGGCTTCTAAAGATCCGAGCCAGTGTCGATATGTTGCTCGAAACCGTTGGACTGTAGGATGCGCTTCTCGCCGGGGGACTTTTTAGCTGCAAGGGGCTTACTTTGCCTGATTAACAGAGATGTCACCGTCGCATATGTAAGGGGAACATCATGTCGGGATTCGGATGAAATGTCATTAAGAAGACTGGTTCGGCCACAACAGCCATGTAGGTTATGCGACTCGATATGCCCAAAGCCGCAACCATGAACAGTGAAAATATGGCAGTTGAAACTGTGCCGGGTGCAAAGGAAGACGAGGTGAAGGCGGGAGGGGGCTGCGGACCTGGCCAAAGTCCAGAGCTCTTGGAAATGCACGTGTCAAGACGTCTTTGGAGATAAAACTCAAAAATGCATGGCTTCTGCAGAACCAAAACAGGCCGTGATATACCTACCGTTCTGAGAGCAACCAGCTGCAGAGCGCACTGTAACGGCCTGCCAGCCTCGCTTGGCCCAAGAGATCGGCAGGTTTTGAACTTGAATCGTCTGCCGAACCGGGTGCGGGGATTTTCGAGAATGAATCTTCTGAAAGCCCTCAACAATGGATCCTTCAAGCTTCAGATGTCAGAAAGACTGGAGATGGAGGCGCCGGTGGGGAAGAGGCCGAAAGCCAAGTCGACGGGAGCGCGCGTTGTTTCAACGGCTGGCGCCGCTCCGCAACCCCAGCCAAGCACCTGCCACTGCTGGAGTGATTTTCATCAGTTTCGACTAGTAGCAAGGAGATCTCGTAGACGGCGGCCTTTTCGATATTGCCGTGCTCGCGAATGAAACAGCGCTGTACAAGTGCGGGTGCTGGCAATCGTATCTCATCGAATAAAAGACTGGGCAGCGGCAGTGAAAATCTACCCCGCGTTACACAACTTGGACATTGCATACGCACCCCTATTCTCGAGTATCTCGTGGTGCTACATTGCTCTTTGTTGGTGGTGGCTATAGCGTTCCAGTTGATCTCGAAGAAAGAAGACACCTACCCAAACGCATCGGCTGATCACCGTCGAAAGGATGAATGGGCAGCTGCGAGGGCAACGGGCGAGGGAATTTTTGAAGCCGCCGGTTGTGACGTCCAAACTCCGAGGGCCGATGTCACCGTGGCGGCCAAGCGCCGGCGCGGGAGCAGACTCTTTCACCCGCGGCTCCGTCTTCCGTCATCAACCCAGCATTTGCACAGTACGGGGAGCAAAATGGCAATAGATGGGCCCTATGCGAGGCCTGCCGAACTTCCATCCGTCGATGCTGCATATGCTGCAAGATTCCCTGAAGTCCAAGTCATGAGAGCAGCCGATTGCCGATCACAACATGAGAGAGGAAAAGGGGTCGGTCGAGGAGGAAGCAAGGTCGGGCTACTCTAGACGGCGCAGAGGGTCTTGAAGTCGTGGTTGAGATTCGAAACACTATGATCTGAGACTGTTTGTTGTAAAGACATTCTTGGCTTTTTGACTTGCGGATGACACGCGCGGATCACAAGAAGGGATGAGATGAGGGGCATTCCCGCCCGCGCCTACCTGCAGACAACCACTACGTACACACACACACACACACACACACACACACACACACACACACACGCACACACTCACACACAAACGACTTTCTCTTCTTCGACCTGCAGCTAAAGGCTTGACACCCGTCCGATTCCATCCCTGACCGCTTTGTGGCTGCATACCCACACATGCTTGACTGGCACACAATATTTCGACCTGATTCTTTTTTCGTGCTCGGAGCCGAGTTGAGCACAGTGTGCAGAGGGTAAATGCAGAGTCAAGAGTATGGAAGCGGGCACT